CGAGCAACATCAATAACAGCCGAGGGCAGGTTGGCCAACCGAGCCACATTCAATCCGTAACTGCGGTGCGCAACACCTTCAGTGACTTCATACAAGAATGTAATCTCCTCGTCGCCCTCCTTCTCGCCCGTCTCCGTGAACTTCATGTGCACGTTGCGGAGGGCATTATCCGGGAAGGATTGCACCATTCGTGAAAGATGTTGGTAATGCGTGATGAAGAGCGTTAGGGACTGGATAGACCGGACCATGTGATCGAGCACAGCCTGCGCGATAGCAACGCCGTCGTGCGTCGATGTACCGCGGCCCAGTTCGTCGAGGATAACCAAGGACCGCGGCGTTGCTTGCTTGAGGATATCGGCTGTCTCGGAGAGCTCGACCATGAATGTCGACTCGCCGGCGAGCATGTTGTCGAAGGCTCCCATGCGGGTAAAGACGGCATCTAGGAGACCGAGTTTGGCGGAGGCTGCAGGGACGTAGGATCCGATTTGGCCCATAATTGCGATTAGTGCTACTTGTCGTACGTAGCTGGATTTACCGCCCATGTTTGGACCCGTGACGAGGAGTGCGCGCGTGTTATCGTGGTGCAGGTTTGTGTCGTTCGGTACGTATGTGTTTGTGAGGAGCTGCTCGACCATTGGGTGTCGGCCTTGCTCGATGTGGAGGCCTGCTTCGTCTGTGTACTCAGGCTTGACGTAGCCGGGTTGTTGGGCGATTGTTGCTAGGGACAGCAGGCAGTCCAGTGTTGCGAGAGATTGGACGCAATCGCGGAAGGATTGGTACTGTGCTGCAATGTCGGCTAGTAGAGCTGTGTATGCTTGGTCGCATGCTGCGGCTAGGGCTTCTTTTTGCTGGTCGCGCTCTCGGATCATTTGAACGACTTCCGGTGTGTGGAAGCGTGACACGCGTTTTGTGCCGCTCACTTTGATCCATGATGCGGGGACGCGCTTGAGTGCCGGTGAGTTGTTTTCGATCTCGATCAAGTACTCGATGCCGGACACTGTCGAGTATTCGACTTTGCCTCTTCCAATTGTCGACGCCGCCTCTTTGCGGTGCTCAGAGAAACTGTGTTCGATGCTGCCAATCTGGAGCTTATGTTCACCAATGGCTTCGGTCTCTTCCGCCTCACGGAAGAAAGAGTACTTGTCATCAGTCCGAGCTGCATGCAGGTTAATCTTGTCCAGAAACTTGACAACTTCTGCCCGGATTGTGGGCAGAGAGGCGATTGCCTCGGACACTAATGTTGACTCAAACCCTGTCTGAGCGGGCGATTTGATGTCTGCGAATTCCATCGCAATCATTTGCATGGCTTGCAGCACATTCAAAAGTTCAGGACGTGTGCACTTTCCCAATATTAGCACCAATGAAGATCGCCACGACGGAAAGTCACTTACCTTTCCATAGTAAATGCGAATCAGGCTTTTCTCCAGATCACTCTTGACTTTGCCGAGTAAGCCTCGCACTCTTTCCACGGGAACCATCCGGGCAGGGTCCGTCAGCTCCGCGACAGCATTGGTCCTCTCCTCGAGACGGATTTTATCAAGCAAAGGCCGTCCAACCCATTGCCGCAACATACGTTGTCCGAATCGAGTCTGCGTCCGATCCAGGGTCCAAAACAGACTCCCTTTGGCCGAATGGTCCGTTTGGTTTTGATAAATCTCCAGACTGACCAGCGTGTTTCCGTTCAAGAGCATGTGCGAGCGAGCCGAGAAGGGCTGGAAGTATTTTGTCAGTTGAAACACATGCTCCAGCCCATACTCAGTCATGTGCTCGATCATAGCGGACAAACAGACAGTAACCTGCTCCGGTAGTTCAAGAACGTTTTGAAGTAACTTTGCTGCCTGAGCGTCCTCTTGAGTGCTCGTAGCTTTCATTTTGCCTGCGTAAAAACCCGATACGTGACTGTGGGCCTCAGCAGCGGATGTCTTTTTCTTCTGAGCCCTTTCCAGTCGCACGGCATCCCCGAAGACATTCATTTTGCTTCCGGACAAATGCTGAACAAGCTTCTCGCTGGCTCGGGACATCTCGCCAACGATTAAAATCTCACATGGGGCAATGTGTAAGAGTCGTGTCTCGATCTCGCTGCGCATAAAGCCATCCTCAAAGTCGTCGTAGATAATATCACCTGTAGCCGGCTGAACTGCAATGATTCCGACATGCACCCGCTCATCGTTACCCGGGCCCTTGGCGTTAGTCTCTGTCATACAGAGCATGTAACCAGTAGCAGGCGAGGTGCCTCCAGCTGCCGGGGCAGGACCCTCGAGACCTTCAGCGTCATCGATGTAGGTTCCCTTGGTGTAGAGGTTCGTCAGCTTGCGGACAAACGGCGCATTGCGGTTATCACCCGCAGCTTTGAGTGCAGCTGTCTCGATCTGTCGCACCACTCCGACTTTGTGGCCTGCTGTGACGAGTCGTTTCACATGGACATGAAGTCGGTGCACTGGGATGCTGGCTGAAGCAAACCGGTCAAGATGTGCCTCCGAGGGATCTGTAAGGCCATCCATTAGTGAACTTCAATACGCCTTTGTGGGGATATACTCACGCTCATCGAATCTGAACTTTCCCGGGATACACACAATGCCCAACTCCTTTGCGGCAATGCGTGCGTCCTCTCCGAAGAACCGGAACTTGTATCCGACTTCAATCACCAGTACAGTGTTCATATGCTTGCGCTTAATTTCGACGACCTGTTTCTCCATAGGCGTGAGCTTGCTCCCGCCCTTCTTGGCACCCTTGCCCTTGATTGGAGGAGGAGGAGGTTCATCATCGTCCTCAGCCTCTGCAGCATCGTCCGCTCCAGCAGAAGCATCAGTTGCAGGGGTCCTCCCAATTCCAATCAAACAATCGGCTCCGCCGAGCTTCTTGACAAATTTGTAGTGTAGCTTCTCCTTTTCTTTCTTCCGTTGTTCCTGTTCTGGATCGGCTTCTTCGGTAGCATCTGTAGCAGGAACACCCGTGGCAACGGCAGGGGAGCTTTGGAACTTGAAAATATCGGTGCGTTGACTACTACTCGGCTGAGAAGTGTGTTCGAAGAGCGCACTCGTCGCGACTCGAATCGGCTCTTCTGCGTCTGTGCCGGTGGTCTTAGCTCGTTTTGGAGCCGGTACGACAATATCCTCGTCGTCGTCCTCTTCCACTGTATCAGCTCGTTTCGACTCGTTGATCTTCTCCGCTGGTGAGGCTTGTCTTTTCTTGGGCCCCTTGGCCGGGGTCGCTTCGGAGTCTTTGGGCGAGGAGCTGGATGTGGATTTCTGGGTGAAGAAACTAGAGATGCTTGGCTGCTTTCGTTTTAGAGACGGTGAAGGTGCGGAGGATTGCGATGATCGAGGCGCCATGTTGAGGATGGTTGGTCTGCTCCCACCGCAGGTATGCGGAGCAGCAGTGGGATAGAACGGATAGTGACAAAGTGGAGATGGTAGATGATTATCTCAACAGGAGTATCTCTCAAATTGGATTCTCGGGATGAGGAATGTTTCAATGGCCATGCGAGTTTGCACTCCGCATTTCCCTGAAGCTTGACGCGTACGGGACGCGTGAGGGCGTTAAGTGGCTGAGTCAGCGCTTTGTATGGCCTCGAAGCATGCCCTGGGGAACATTCCAACCTCACCTTTACAAATTTGTCTAGAGTGCTTTTTGTCGCATTTATTAAGGGGATAGGCTGGATAAAATCAATACTATAATAAAAACTAACAAATAAGATCTCAAGATGTAGCCCTAAAATCAGGCTGTTCCAAGCTGATTACGTCATTCCACTGTCGAGAGCATAGGGTTCCTCCGCAAACTTGAGGCATCTCATCAACGAAAGATCACCATCAATGATGCTGTGCTACTAATGGAAAAATCTCCGTTATTTCTTGAACCGGGCCTTCAAGGTCATCTTGGAGGAGTTCTGGACTTAACAAAGCACCTGGCCGTTTTTGATTCATGAACCTCGCTTTCGAAAACACCTCTGACAATGGTGCCAACGGCTATTGCACGCTTACCTTGCTGGCGTCGTTGCTAGCCTTGAGTGCCGTAATACATATATCTCTCATCCTGGATATCCCCCATTTCGACTGGAACGCGTCAAGGAACTCGCTTGTTCAGCATGCCAAGTTATCAGTTCTTGAGCAGATCGAATATCCAAGCCTCTCCCTTGTTCTTTCGGCAGCTCTCATTTCTCAGACAGACCTGTTGACGGAAAATATGGCTTCGGCCTCTCAATACATCTATAAGTGGATCTGAAGCACCTTCTAGTACATGTCTTTATGCATACAGGCATTGCTATTCGGCATGCGATCACTCTAGATTTCACACACAACACCCGGAAACCAATCATTTAAATTCAGTTCGAAGAACATTATCCTGGCCCATTCGATTGCACGGGCGGGCGTTTGGATGCTAGAAAAATATGCCTTGTCATTCCCAAATTACCTGGATATTACTCGTAATCTCATGTACAGACCACCGGAATGGAGCAGGATAATCAATTAAAGAATGTAGAATCTTGCTTGTTCGGCCATTCTTTATCGGATACTGAAGCTCTAAGCCGACCCACAGTGTCTGCCCGTAGAATGTCGACATCATCCTAAAATCCAAGACTGATAACAATCACTTCAACACGAACCACGCAGGCTCCTATGCATGGACTACCACCCTTGACCCGGTGGAGAGACGGTTGGAAAGATATCGCCAAGCGTGAGATAGTGGATATGCAGCTTTGAAAGAGACAATGCTGTCGATAGTTTAGGAGTTAATAAAACACAAGCTCCACGAGGATTTGGGCATCGCAAATTTAATTTAGATGATCATGCCCCTCGAAGACACGGAGATCACATTTGATAGAATCTCTAAAGCTCAACACCCTGACTAGCCTTCCTCGCAAACCACCACACCACTCATCCACTCTGACCGTAGCATATTAATCGAGGTGATCCGCTTCCAGGGGTTGGGATGCAGCATTGCATAAATGGCATTACGTCGTCTCTGTCACCTAATTATCAGCAACTTCTCTCTTGTGCAAGCTAGAGGAACGTCCACTGGGTGATACGTACCTGTCCAAGCGACTCAATTGGCGCATACCCATCCTCTCCACGACGGCTACGCAAGTACTCCAAGTACCGCCCATCTTCGCGATGTGGTCGAGCACTGCGCCAAAGCAATCGTCCGGTTATGAGAGTCATGTAGACGATGGCAGTAGCCCAAACATCCGCCGGACGGGGGTCAGTTTCCTCCTCATTGTCATTGTGGGAGTAGGAATGAGAATGATGCTCAAATGCCTCTGGTGGGGTATATGGGAGGCTCATACCGGCGAAGGAGGCAGTTGATGGGTTTACGGTCATAGATTGAGCAGTATTGCGGATTGAAGAGGCAAATGGATTCTGGCGGGTAAGTGAAGATAGCGGCCACGGCAAGGAGAAGGACCAAATCGCATGATGATGTTGCTGTTGTGGTGGAGGTGGTATTTCTTCCTCATATTCTGCTGGAGTTGCACACTCTTCCCACATTCGCCGAACGTGTCCATCACCAAAGCCAGCCAGCTTGACTCCTCCACTTGATGTCAGAAGAACGGTTTCTAGGCGGATATCACGGTGTGCTGTTTCGTGCTCGTGGAGGAAGCAGAGGGCACGCAGGATTTGTTTTATGATGCAGTCAGCTTCATGCGCTGGAAGTAATCCATTTCGAGATATCAGGGTATGTAGATCCCCACCGGCGCAGTATGGCATAACAAGGCACAGTTCGGAGCGTTCATTGTGGAGGAGGTCGAGGACTTCGAGGATATTGGGATGTTGAGGATGAATGGTCGCGCTAGCTGGGGAGAGACGGGTGGTCAAATGAGATGGGGAGGTAGATGGGGATGACTTTTTCAAGATGTTGCGTCGGTATACTTTGATTGCGAGGAGCTGTTGGCCCCTTGACTCGTGGAGGCGGGTTGTGCTGTTTGCCCCGTAATGGACTATTTGCTGGCAACGACCGTATTTTTCTGTGAATGGTAGACCGGAGGTTGAGAGTTGTATCGCACTGGGGGTTGAGACTGCTGAATCTCCTACCAAAGGAAGTCGGTCCGTAGAGATTGTTGTCAAGAGAGGTAAATGCTCATGCTTCAAGGCGGACCAGCCGCGATTTCCCATTCTCTGGACGACATCATTCAGTGAGCCATTTCCTTTGACATCTGTAGATCCGTTGGGGAGTTTTCTTTGATTTGGATAATCATGATAGTTGTTACTCTGGTCTGGAGGGCGCATGGCGATCAGTGTCCAGGTGTCTGGTTTTCAGATGACGATGTATGCTTTGATAGACACGTAGGGGAGGTTGTAAAGAAGAAGTTAAAAATATAAAATTGAAAGGGAATATTATGCTAGATTTTTGAGTTTGGGCTGTCTTTATATAGACCTGCACACTGCCGCGTTTATCACTCTTCCTCCGCTCCCACATTCCTAGGATAAACACGAACGAAGAGAAAGTGAGCACATGGGAAAATACGAAGTATACCATCGTAGCACAGCTTTCTCAACCATGGGTCAGGAATGAATAAAACAAATCTCTCGTGGCTGGTCCTTAACGAGCTGGGTATATCCGCGATTGGACGCGGCAAACTGCTCATGATGATCGTGTCAAAATAGACCGATAGTGAGCGATTTATTTCAGTTACCACTCTAGCTACTGGAGCGGCTCGCGTAAACTGAAAGCGGCTGGAGAGAAAAATTGAAATGTGGGAGCCTTTCAGAGTGGTAGATGGGGAGATGATAACGTCTGAATTGAGTAGTTCGCAGTCATTCTGTGGCGAGGAAAAATCCCTCATGGCGACCCGGGGAATAAACCACGCTTTTGTGGCTGTGACCATGACGGAAAACAGCAAATGTTACGAGATCTGCGGCATTTGTTTCTGTTTTCGCTGCGGCTCCTGATCTGAAAGAATTTCTCTCCTGAATTTCCAGGGGATCTGATCGAGGCGACCAGGGAAAAATAGGGCTGAACGTGTTTGGTATTGTCCGTGGTGGATATATACGATTAATGATTGGTCGATATCCTTCTACATGGTAATATTACAATACAGCCTGTACGGAGTACGTATATTATAGTTCACTGACAGCTGTCATTGTGGCTGGTTATGGTAGTGCCTGGTTCTGGTAGAGAACTAGATAGTATCACAATATGTTTGTACTGGATAGACGGAGTATCTCTCATAATATTCCTTTTAAGCAAAGAGAGAGTGATATTGACACAGACCCAGGGATTTCAGAATCAAAAGCTGATATTACTAGTATAGACTAAAGTAAAGTGGAACGAGGGAAATAAAACATCAAGTCGTAGTATCTATTTCCCTCGAGTGACTGTGCTATGACACGCAGGAACTGGCTTGAACCTTCCCAATTCGGTATACTCTAACCAGGCCTAGTCGGCCTGCAAACATACATAAGAGGACTTTTCCTGTCCTCTTTCTGCGCTCTACGCTCTACACCTTCTCTTCTCTGACTCCTCCGGCTTGTGTTGTTCTCCTTGACATCGGACTGTCTGCCTCCCCGTTCAACCTGTACCACTAGACGTCCATCATGCATTCCCAAGGTAGCACCACCGATGTCGATGTCGAGTCGGAGGGTGATCAAATCAAGGATGATTCTGATCGCACTGGACGTTCCGCACGGATTACCTTTGAGGAAGAAGCATCCACTGCAGATGGCTTTCGATCAATCTACCAGCCAGCTCAGTTCACACGAACCCGCTCGGTGAGTCGGGATACCATCCACAGCAGCAGAAGCAGCCAGAATGCCGCAACTGCTGGCTTGCCCATCGAATTCCGAACCCTGTCCATCCATATCTCCGAGTCCCAGAATGCTCCAAAGGATATTCTCGATGCCCCGAAGAAAGAAAAGCAGCCACACCAAGATTACTTCGAGAACCTCGACTTCCATACTCTGACCACCGAACGTCTATGCCAGGAGTTTAACGTCGACCAACATACTGGACTCAGCTCATCCTCTGCAGCTGCTCGTCTGCAGCGAGATGGCAAAAATATCATTGCACATCACGGGGAGAACTATTTCAAAAAGATCTTCTTCTACGTCTTTGGCGGATTCTGCTCTGTGCTCTGGGTTGGAGTGGTCATTTTCTTCGTCTGCTGGAAGCCGCTCAGCAACCCGCCCTCGGCTCAGAATCTCGCCATGGCAGTGCTCATTCTTATCGTCATTGCTTTGCAAGCAAGTTTCTCGGCCTTCCAGGACTGGTCTACTAAGCGTGTCATGAATTCAATCCTGGACCTCCTACCCGCAGAGGCTATGGTCTTGCGAGATGAAAAGCTCACCCATCTCCCTGCTACTGAGCTAGTGGCAGGTGATATTGTCCACATTGGAATGGGCAACAAGGTTCCCGCGGACATGCGTCTGTTGCAGAGCTCGGGTGATGTCCGCTTCGACCGAGCCATCTTGACCGGCGAGTCAGACGAGGTTGAAGGCGCTATTGAATGCACCGAGGCAAACTTCTTGGAGACTCGCAACATTGCCCTCATGGGAACAGGTGTCACCAATGGCAATGCTATCGGTATCGTTGTCTTAACCGGTTCTCGCTCCGTCATGGGTCGCATTGCTACAATGACAGCCGGCGTCAAACAGAAGTCAACCTTGATCCAACGCGAGATCAACAGATTTGTGGCAATCATTGTTGCCCTCACAATTTGCCTCGCTCTGCTGATCTTCTTCACTTGGCTGGGATGGCTGCACAGGGATCATCCATCCTACATGTCCGTTGTATCTATGCTGAACAATGTCATGGGCTGCGTGGTTGCTTTTATCCCGGAGGGAGTACCCGTTGCTGTTGCCTTGACTCTCATGATGATTGCCAAACGGATGAAAAAGACCAACATCTTGCCCAAGGGTCTTGCCACCGTTGAGACTCTGGGTTGCGTGAACGTTCTGTGCTCCGATAAAACTGGAACTCTTACCCAGAATCGCATGTTTGTCAAGTCCCTCGGATTGCTTGACTGGGAGTACAGTCTGGAAGACTTAGCTCCTAGCGAGTTCGGGGTTGCTGAAATCCCCGACGGCCTGCGCAATACATTACGGGCATCTGTCCTCTGCAATGACGCATCGTTTGACCCGACCACAATGAACAAACCCATCCATAACCGTCTTGTCAATGGAAATGCCACAGATGCGGCAGTTCTTCGGTTTGCCGATAGTGTTGGCATGTCATCGCCAACAGCCCTGGCTCCATATGAGCGTGTGCACCAGATCCCGTTCAACTCGAAGAATAAGTGGATGCTTACACTTCATCGTGATCCGAACTCAACCACCGAATTCCTTCTCTACGTCAAGGGAGCACCTGATGTGCTACTGGATCGGTGCTCTACCTACTGGTCTGCAATCCATGATGCAATTCGTCCACTGGATGCAGAGGCCCGGGAGAAGCTTTCAAACTTCCAGGCCAAGCTATCGCGCCGCGCAGAACGGGTGATTGTCATATGCCAGCGTCGTTACGTCCCTTGCTCTACCCCTGGTACAAACGACTTCAGCAACGAAATGCTTGAGTCGGGTGTAAAGGACCTGACCGTTCTTGGTATCTTTGGCATCATTGATCCACCGCGCGAGGAGACTGCCCAGACAGTCTCAGCTTGCCGAAAGGCAGGCATCCGCTTCTTCATGGTGACTGGTGATTTCGGATTGACAGCAGCTGCCATCGCCCGTGACATTGGAATCTATGACGGACAAGCTGAGCCTGATACTGTAGACGACCTGAGTGATGGTCTTGATCCGAAGATGGAAGTCAAAGTTCCCAAGTCACGACACAGCCTGCTCCTCGAAGGCCCTAGCCTTTCATCATTGACTTCGGAGCATTGGGAGACGATCTGCGGCTACGATGAAATAGTGTTCGCCCGCACCACCCCCGAGCAAAAGCTCCGTATTGTCACAGAGCTCCAAGCCCGCGGCTACATAGTAGCAGTCACAGGTGACGGCGTCAATGATGCCCCAGCTCTACGCGCAGCAGATGTCGGCATCGCAGTCGGATCCGGCAGCGACGTGGCAATCGAGGCCGCAGACCTAGTCCTCCTCGAACGATTTGATTCCATCATCGAAGCCATTCGCCTCGGCCGACTAGTCTTCCAGAACCTGCAAAAGGTCATCGCCTACCTACTCCCAGCAGGAAGTTGGTCCGAAATCTGGCCGGTCCTTATGAACGTCTTCTTCGGCTGCCCAGCACCCCTCAGCACATTCTTAATGATAATAGTCTGCGTCTTCACCGATCTATTCTTATCCCTCTCCCTAATCATGGAAAAGGAAGAATTCGACCTTCTCAGCCTCCCTCCCCGCCGCCCAACAAAGGACCACCTCATCAACCTCCGCATTTACGGCCAATCGTACCTCTTCGTCGGAGTAATGGAAGCGTTCAGCGCTCATGCCATGTTCTTCTTTTACATGTGGCGCTACGCCGGCATCCCATTCTCAGATCTCATCTTCTCCTTCGAGAACTATACAGATGGTTTCCACGGGTATACACAGGACCAGTTGAACCACTTCACGAGCGTGGGCCAATGCTGCTACTTCGTCGCGTTGGTTATCATGCAATGGGGCAACGTGCTATCCGTTCGCAGTAAGCGCATGTCTTTGCTCCAGGCCGATCCTATTCGCCCTGCTCGTCGCAATCCCTGGTTGCCGTTGGCTATTCTCATTTCACTGGTTATTGCTATTTTCGTTACGGAGGTTCCTGGTCTTCAGAGTTTGTTCAGCACTGCTTCTGTCCCTATTGAGTTCTGGCTTATTCCGCTTGGCCTTGCGATGGGTATTCTCTGCATGGATGAGCTGCGCAAGGCTCTTGTGCGGCTTTTCCCCAAGGGGCCTGTGGCTTGGGTTTCGTGGTAATGTGTGGCAATGATTGATCATGAAATAGAGTGGAGGCTGGGTTATTTTTCTCGCATATTTTTGTTGTGCATATTCTTAGAGGGTATTGCTTTCTTTCTCTTTTGTCTGGTCATTTAGCTGCCCCTATCCACGCAATGTTTGTAAGGAATATTACGCAGCCTCTCGTCAACATCCAACTGAAATAGAGAAATGATAATGACAAGAACATTACAACTGAGATACTTTATTCTTACACAGTTGAAGCACCATCAATCCATCCATCAGCTAACATACTAAAATCTATATACCTGACGACAAGTCAAGTAAGCCACAACCCTAATAATCTTACTCCTGATTGGTATAGTACAAAAGAACGAACTCAAACCCAAGAATGAAAAGTGACCTTGATTGCT